TGTGGTGCCCACCCGATCAATTCCGGAGTCCGTTTTCCGGTCTCAGTTGGTGAAAGCCATGAGAGATGCAGCGTTTGATCTCGATGCCATAGCTGAAAGCATGCATCGAAAAAACAATCCTTCTAGCGCAGTTCCTAACAAAGTTGACAAACCTGCTGAGTTTATGCAACCTCTTGTTCAGCTTTTGGTTGATCAAATTGCGTCAGTTGCGCCTGCAAAACAGGACACAGCTGCCATGCGTCAACTTCAGGAAGTTCAGACCCAGCTGCATGCTGCTCAGGCTAAGCTCCGCCAAGCTGGAGTGTCCTTAACACCGGATCGACACCGCCGCGCGGCGACAGATGCAAATGCCGGCCCTGTTGTGCCTCCTGGTTCTGTTTCTGGTCCCCCTGCTGTTGTTCTCATGGTCTGTTAACCAGCCTTCAACGAGAAAACAGCTCGTCCTTTTCAGAAACGAACGGCACTCTTCGTCCAAGAAGCCCGCCCAAAGGCACAGGGCAAGTAGATGCATCAGGAGTGAACAACGACCTCCTAGTTCTCTTGTGAGCCCGCGTCAAAGTCAAATTTGCCTCATCCAAAGTCCATTGGTCCGTGTGGTAGTAGTGAAGTTTCAAAGTACCCACCAGCACTTCCAGTCTCTTCAGTGGATCAGTTTCATCATCTTCACTCACATGCACGTTGTTCAAATCCACAGGCATGTTGTTCATATAGTCATCAAACTCATGATAGACAGTATCCTTCCATTCTTGACAGTAAGGCACGTGCCTAGGAGACAAGTACAAAGAGTACCATCCATACCTGAGAACAGAGACAGTCTAATGTTGAGGAGTCAAGAGAAGGAGGCAGTCCTTTCCGAGAACGGTCCAGTAGTTTTGCAACAACATGCGCGTGACAGAGACGAGACAAAATGAGACATCACAGACATAGCAATTTACCTAATGAACCTCTCTTCGACCCTCCCAGTTGCGCTTCTCAAGTTTGGTGGATTGGGACCCAACGGTAGAAGTGGATAGTCTGAAGCATAGCCAAATGGGCAACAGTGCGCCCTGCTCCTGAATCAAATAGAACCCAGTCTCTCTCAATAGGTACAGATGCAACACAGTAGTCATGCATCCAGGCCAATTTGTCACAAGGTCCGTTTTGACAGTGACATTACCAAGTGCAAAATGCACCGGTACTGAGTGCATTGAAGTACCTTCAGAAGTTCCTAAACTCAGCGCAGCTATAGTAGAAAATAAAAGCTCCTCCCAAACTTCCAGTTCTGGAACCAGTACGTTGCTACAAATTGTTGAAACAGCTGAAACAGTTTGCAAAGTACCAGAAGTACTAGATGAAACAAGGGCGCTAATATTTGGAAAACCCGTGACCGTAGACACAGTTCCTGAGGCAGTGGCAAGTGCCTGCACAGTTTGTGCAGTGTGAGTCGGAGGCAAAACTAAGTGCTGCGCGCTTGGTTTAGAGTAGCTCCAGTCACCATAGTCCGTCCAACTCTGGTCATACCACACATCCCAAGACCAGTCACCCCATAGTGCACCAGTCCAGCCGACATCACACCCTTCGTCATTCCATTCATAGGCTTCGTCAGTTGCATCTTACGTTTCTAGGCTGAGTACAATCCTTAGACTCAGACGTATGTCCATGTTGGCCGCAGTTCCACCATGTCAGTCTACCTTTCATTTCTTTTCCAAAGGCGGACAGTTTTCCGCTTCCTCTGCCTTTGTGGGGGCCAGTCTTGCCACTTCCACCTTTGTAGTTCTTACCTTTTCCTTTTCCGAGGGGGCCAGTTTTGCCACCTCCTTTCATGTTTCCTATTCCTTTCCAACCAAGGGGAGGCCATTTTCCGCTTCCTGTCTTTCATACCTGTTCTTCAACATTTCGCATTCTGAGTAGTCTTGTTCAAACTTTTCAGTCCTAAACCTGTATTCCAACACACGAGTCAACAGTGAAATGTCTTGTGCAGTTCCTGGTAGAGAGAATCTTTGACCAAGTAACGGCCAGCTCTTAAAATCCGTTTTGGGACACAAGACCTCGAATAATCAGTCTGGCACTATCAGTTGTCAATTGGGTCAGTAGATAGCGAAGCTGCCGCGTGAATTCAAGCAGTTTCTGTACATCTTCCGGATCAGTCACCAGTCCAGCTACATCTTGATCAGTGATCGGTCTCTCACTTCTCTCAGGTCTCTCCATCACTTCCAGTGTGTCAGTCTTCAAACAGCGCCGCGCAGTTTGTCACTGAGTACGGCCAGTCTTCCCAGTCTTCCATCCATCTTGCCACTGAACTTCTGAGCCATTGGTAGTCTTTCACTTCCTCCTAGGGAGTTTCTCTCAGCAAAGGCCGCCATCTCCTACTCTAGTTCTATGTCTGTTCAGTGTCGGCCAGCGTGCCTCTTCCACTCTTCTCTCAGTGGGGGCCAGTATTGCCGCTTCCACTTTTCTCTCACAATCAGTGGGCCAGTATTGCCGCTTCCACTTTTCTCTCACAATCAGTGGGCCAGTATTGCCGCTTCCACTTCCACTTGACTCAGAGAAGCTCCGCTACCATGCAAAACCATGCAAAATTGCAATGGCAGCTTTCAGTGTAACAAATTGCCGGCAGTTTAGTATCTGAGTGACTCCGGGCTTGAGGCAGTCTTGAGCCACCTGAGCCAAAGTACAATCAGGACAGTGGCTTGGCTTACCGTCCGTACAGTGGAGCACGCAGTGACACGCAGTGGGCATGGCATTTACATCTCAGCAAACAAACAAACAAACAAACAAAAATAACAAACAAAGAAAGAAAGAAATAAACAAAGAAACAAACAAAGAAACAAACAAAGAAACAAAGAAACAAAGAAACAGAGAAACAAAGAAACAAAGAAACAAAGAAACACAGAAACAAAGAAACAAAGAAACAAAGAAACAAAGAAACACAGAAACACAGAAACAAAGAAACAAAGAAACAAAGAAACAAAGAAACAAAGAAACAAAGAAATACAGAAACACAGAAACAAAGAAACAAAGAAACAAAGAAACAAACACACAAACACACAAACACACAAACAAACAAACAAACAAACGAAGGAACGAACGAACGAACGAACGAACGAACGAACGAACGAACAAACAAACAAACAAACACACAACCAAACAAACACACACACAAACACAAACAAAAACAAACAAACAAAAACAAAAACAAACAAAAACAAACATAAACAAACAAAAACAAACAAACAAACAAACAAGCAAACAAACAAACAAAGAAAGAAAGAAATAAAGAAAGAAAGAAAGAAAGAAAGAAAGAAACAAACAAACCAACAAGCGCACGCGTGAAACTAATACAAAGCAAACAGAATCTCCAACTTGAAACATCAATGCGCAACCCCTCGCCATCTTTTCGCACCACGCGGGACATCCTTTCGATCCAGCTAGAGACTCAGCCAACAGGGGAATGAAAAGACAGCCTACAACCTTTCAGAGCTACGCACGTCGCTGAGTTGGCAAAATTTGCCCTGCCCGCCTTGCTTGGAGGATCATGCCTTGGATTTCCCTCCCACTGCCCACCGCTGTCTCTGCGTCACACGCTTCGGCTGGGGTACGTCCCTTGCAATCCACAGCTGTAGTGCTGGCACCAACATCCAACAATAGTTGCACGACCTGACACCACAAATTTCTCCCCTGCACACATAGCACACTACACAAAACATCACAAAACATCTTGTGGCTTGAAGTGGCGGGCTTGCTGCCAAGCCGCACGAAGATGCTGATAGAACGCCGCAAAATGCAGTGGGGTCTGGAGCTTGTCGTTTGGCAAATCTATCACTTTGGTGCTGCGTGCAAGCCTCACAATCAAACATTCTCGCTACAGCGACAAGCTCTTTGATGCACAGAACACGCAACATGAACTCGGGGAACCAATGATGAAACCGCGGAACAGCAAGCGCAGGATAGACTCATCTCCACGGCGGCACGCGCGAGAGAGGGCAGAATTTCCCAAGAAACCTGAGCACAGGCTGCTGCGAGGTAATTTGCCCGAGAGTTGCCAAATGCGTAGGAAAAAATGCAACAAAGTCTGCGAGAGGATGACATGCGCCTCAGCCTGCCCCGCCCCATAAAATCCCACAAGACAATGCTAAACCCCACGCCGCCCGAGGGAACCACAATGTATTGCATTTTGCTGGAATGATGATGATATTGGACGTGGACCCCATACATGTCAGCGCGGGCCCGCAACAAACCCGGCCTTCACACCTGCCATGTGCCATGAAAACTACATGTGGACACCAGGTTTGGGGACAAACTATGAGAGCTTTTGAAACCATTTCGAATTTTTGCAATGCTTCAACCATGAAGCCTTTGGCGGTGTCATCAACACCAGCAGATAGCAGCAGCTCCACGGCACCCAGGTTTCCGGAGTCAGCTGCCCAAATCAACCTTGGCTTTGTTTTTGCGAGAAGCTGCGTTTTGGACCAGCAACCTTGCCTGCTCGAGATAGCTAAGGTGCGGGGTGTTGCCAGTCTCATCAGAAGCTGCCAGGTCCTGCACATGCAGCCGCGCTTCATGAAGATATAAAATCAAATCTGCACGCGCTGTGGCAAGTGCCTTGAAATCCATTGCCGTCAGGGCGGATACGTCCCCTTGTGCAGCTGCATGACAGGCAGCATTAGCTGGAATCGGAGGCAGCTTCTTTACCACGCAAGGGCCTGCAACAAGAACTAACGCACCGCTTCTGCGGCCATGGACATTGCTTGCGCGAACATTTTGGCACCATTAAAAGCATGGCTTTCGCTCATGGTGGCAATTTTCAGAAATGGGGTGCGTGCAGTATGCATCAAATCAAATGCGATGGGGTTCTTGGCTGAAAAAGGGGTTGCGCAACTGATTTCAAAGCACGGGCCAGATTTTGTCTTTCTTCTTGTTCTTAAAATCAATATATATACAATATATATATATATATAACTATATATATATAACTATATATATATATAATCTATATATATATTATATATATAATATATATAATCTATATATATATATTCATGGGTTTTCACAGTTTCTCGTCTTTTTCAAACATGCTTTTATCATTGCAAAATTGGAGAAAAATGTCTTGACTTTCTTTCATATTGTTTAATGTTCATTTACGATTTAGCACAAAATTCAACAGACATGCGCTAGCGGGATATGAAAAGTCACGACGAATGGTTATAACGATGGAGATGACAGCACGACGACACTGTGCTGACGGCGTGACGACGATAGCTCGGCAGCACGATGACGAAGTGCCGCCGCACGACGGCGATAGACCGACGGCATAACGACTGCATGACAACGATGCGACGACGATGCGACCACGACGCGACGACCGTCACAAGCCGGGGTTTGACGTGTCATGAGCCCGGGTTCGGCGCCTAACCCAGGCTTATGACATGTCATAAGCTGGGGTTGGACGCCGAGCCCGGGCTTATCACGGTCGTCGCTCCGTCGTCTCGCCGTCGTGGCCTCGTCGTCATGCCGTTGTCAGTGAGGTCGTCGTCATGCTTTCGTTGTGACGTCATCGTGACATAGCCCCTCCATAGTCATAGGGCCCGAACTTTCGTCACAACCCTCCCGTCGCGGAGCTCACGCTATAGAAAACCTGGTTTGCATGCGTTTAGAATTTAATTGATTTACAAAGGTTTTTACTCTACACATTGGAAATCTTTAAAATAGTTTTTTTTCATTTTGTTATCATTTTGGTTATCATTGCATCCATCATTTTATTTTTTTACATTTATTTTATCATCTTCATATTTTAATCATTTCAGGTATCATTTTTTATCATTGTTTGATCATTTTTTTCATTTTTCATCATTTTTGCTTCCAGTGGTGCAAAAATTCTGCAAAAAATAAAAAATTCTAATTTTCCCTGTTTTTTCATTTTTTACTCATTTTTTAATCATTTTTAAAAAATTGTTCATCATGTTTGCTTCCAGTGGTGCAAACATTTTCCAAAAAATGGAAAATTGCAATTTTCCTCGATGTTTTTTTCATTTTTTTATCATTGTTTTATCATTTTTTTGTCATGTTTCATCATTTTTGCTTCCAGTGGTGCCAAAATTTTCCAAAAAATGCAAAATTGTAATTTTCCTTGAGTTTTTTCATTTTTTTATCATGTTTTATCAGTTTTCATCATTTTTGCTTCCAGTGGTGCAAAAATTGTCCAAAAAATGGAAAATTGCAATTTTCCTCGAGTTTTTTTCATTTTTTTATCATTTTTTGATCATTTTTTTATCACGTTTCATCATTTTTGCTTCCCGTGGCGCAAAAATTTTCAAAAAATGGAAAATTGTAATTTTCCCCGAGTTGCTTTTCATTTTTTTATCATTTTTTTATCATGGTTTTATCATTTTTTATCATTTTTAAATAATTTTTCATCATTTTTGCTTCCAGTGGTGCAAAAATTTAAAAAAAAATGAAAATGCAATTTTCCTCGAGTTTTTTTCATTTTTTTAATCATTGTTTTGTCATTTTTTCATCATTTTTCATCATTTTTCATCATTTTTGCTTCCAGTGGTGCAAAAATGATAAAAAAAAATGATAAAAAAATGATTTAAAAAAAATGATAAAAAAATAAAAAAACGAGGAAAATTGCAATTTTCCATTTTTGGAAATTTTTTGCACCACCGGAAGCAAAAATGATGAACCATGATAAAAAACGAAAAAAGTGACAAAAAATTGATTAAAAAAATGATAAAAAAAGAAAAAAAACGAGGAACATTGCAATTTTCATTTTTTGGAAAATTTTTGCACCACTGGAAGCAAAAATAATGCAAAATGATAAAGAATGATAAAAAAATATAAAAAACTTAAAAAAAACTCGTGGAAAATTGCAATTTTCCATTTTTTGCAGAATTTTTGCACCACTGGAAGCAAAAATGATGAAACATGAAAAAATGTTAAAAACATGATAAAAAAATGATAAAAAAATATTTAAAAAATGATCAAAAAAATGATAAAAAAAATGATACCGGAAGATGATAAAATAAATGATAAAAAAATGATGAATGCAATGATAACCAAAATGATAAAAAATGGAAAAAAAAACTATTTTGACCTGGCCCAGTCTGTGGCTGCAAGTTTTTCATAACTATAGGGGTTCGTACTTCGCAAAGGTCAGGTCTTCGGTGGCGAGCTGCTGTGAGGCTGCTGCTCACTGTGCGGTGGCGAGATCTGGCAGAAGTGCTGTGCAAGCTGCTGTCCAGAGTGCCGGCGGCATCTGGCAAAGGTGCTGTGCAGGGTGCTGTGCAGGCTGGCGTGGCTGCTCAGTGGTCTGGCCTCAGTGCGGTGCTGGCAAAGATGCTGTGCAGGGTGCTGTGCAAGCCCGTTGGCGAAGTTTAGCAAAGGTGTTGTGCATGGTCCTGTGCCGGCTGCTGTCCAGAGTGCGGTGGCGAGGTCTGGCAAAGGTGCTGTGCAGGGTCCTGTGCAGGCTGCTGTCCAGAGTGCGGTGGCGGTCTGGCAAAAGTGCTGTGTTGGTGGGGTTTAGCAAAGGTGCTGTGCAGGGGGCTGTGGTCGTGCAAGGTGCTGTGCAGGCTGATGTCCAGAGTGTGGTGGTGAGGGTGCTGTGCACCGTCACTGCATTGCAAAGGGTTTTGTTGGGCACGAAATTCAATTGTGCACCATGAGCATCTTGAGGCTTCAACGTTGCCATGTGATAGGGATGAAATCAGTTCCGGCCGGAAATCAGTTTGTCCATGGTTTGACTTGACGTTTTTTAGTTTTGGAAACAATATTTTAGCGGCTGTGTGGACAGCTGCAACAACATAAATGTTCAAAAGCGATAGCTGCTGCTGTTGGCGATACCATCGCAAATCGTTTCATTTTGATCTATGTAATAGAAACTTTTTGTGCGCAAACACATTTTGATACTGGACCATGTAGCAAAACAAAAGAGCTCCTTTTAAACATTTTTGCATATCCGTTCATATTCGCCTGCTTTTTGAAGTTTTATGCATGCCCGTTCAATATCCGCCTGGTTTCGCACAGACGCATTTGGATCGCAGTTCCTGGACATGAAACCCATGTCAAGTTGCGAGACATAGCTTCCAACCCTGGAAAATGTATATAATTCTTGCAAGTAAACCGGGAACCAGCAGTTCCTCCAACTGGGAACCCGTGGTTGGGAAATTGGGAAACATGGGTTATATACCATGTTTGGGAAACGCTGGTTCCAAGAACTGGGAACATGTGCTCCCAAGATCGGGAAGGATTGGTTCCAACGTTTGGAAACGAGCAGTTCCTCGGACTGCGAACCCGCGGTTCCAAGATTGGGAAGCATTGGTTCGAACGTTTGGGAAGTAGCAGTTCCTTGACCTGGGAACCTGCCGTTCCAAGATTGGGAAGCACTGGAATGTGGTTCTAAGATTGGGAAACATTGGTTACATCGTTTCGGAACCGCTAGTTCCTAAAAATGGAAACATGTGTTTCCAAGATCCTCGAACTGCGAACCCGCGGTTCCAAGATCGGGAACCATTGGTTCGAACGTTTGGCAAGTAGCAGTTCCTTGAACTGGGAACCTGCCGTTCCAAGATTGGGAAGCACTGGAATGTGGTTCTAAGATTGGGAAACATTGGTTACATCGTTTCGGAACCGCTAGTTCCTAAAAATGGAAACATGTGTTTCCAAGATCCTCGAACTGCGAACCCGCGGTTCCAAGATCGGGAACCATTGGTTCGAACGTTTGGCAAGTAGCAGTTCCTTGAACTGGGAACCTGCCGTTCCAAGATTGGGAAGCACTGGAATGTGGTTCTAAGATTGGGAAACATTGGTTACATCGTTTCGGAACCGCTAGTTCCTAAAAATGGAAACATGTGTTTCCAAGATCCTCGAACTGCGAACCCGCGGTTCCAAGATCGGGAACCATTGGTTCGAACGTTTGGCAAGTAGCAGTTCCTTGAACTGGGAACCTGCCGTTCCAAGATTGGGAAGCAGTGGAATGTGGTTCTAAGATTGGGAAACATTTGTTACATCGTTTGGGAACCCCTAGTTCCTATGACTGGGAACTTGTGCTTCCAAGATTGGGAAGCATTGGTTCCCACGTTTGGGAACCAGCAGTTCCTTGAACTGGGAACCCGTGCGCCAATGACTTCTACCTCTTGGGAAGCGCAGTTTTAGAAAGCAATAAAATTCTTTGCTTCATTTTATCATATTTTTTTAAATGTGCGGCTAGTGACCACCACATGTCACATATTTTTTGAAAAACACATAAGCCCAAAGAATATCGCCAACAACCAGAAACAATGAAATTTAACACATGCGCAACAAATAACATACGTTTGTTGGCCAGCTTCTTACTCTAGAGACCGGCAGCCGAAGCGCAACCACAGCGCAAAGCAGTTTCTGAAAACCAACTTTCCAAAAGCGTTTGCAATAAAATGGCAGCTAGAGCACCAACATTCCCGAAAGTTCCTGCGACGGTTTTTTTCCCAAAGAACAGCGGCCAACTTCTTCAACCTTTACCTCTTCTACCTGACATACATCATCCACATCTCCACATCCTTTACATTACCTACATTTCCTACACCATCTTCTCTACAGCATCATCATCATCAGCATCATCATCATCATCAGCATCATCATCATCACCATCATCATCATCACCATCACCATCACCATCATCATCATCATCATCACCATCAGCATCACCATCACCATCATCATCATCATC